TATATCAAAAAGTGTATATTTTTTAAATGTGATTGTTGGTACATTTGACCAGTTTTTACCATACTTTCAAAACAAATTAAAATAGGAAAAATATGCAATATGAAAATAATTGAAGACAAAATGTGTTGTACTGAGAAAAAAACAAGATTTGGTTTTTAAAAAGTATTTTTCCAAAAGGTACATCTAGAAAAAGGGGGGTCGTCTTATAATCAGGGTCGTCTTATATTCGGGCCAATACGGTACTTGAATTTGCCTTAAGCACCCAAGGGGACCCAGAGGGACCAAGTATTTTGCAGGGAAGCCCCACAAAATGCAGTAGGGCTAAACTCACAAGAGGTCGGCCCTGCCTTGTATCATCGTCCCGAAATAATTCAGTACAGCCTCGGAACTCACTGAGGGCCAAGAGCGTACATGAAGGAGGCAAACGCCAAGCACTGGTTGTCATATGACAGAGTGCCCTGCTATGCAGAAAGGACCCGTGCCTGTAAGGCCGGGATGTCCAGACTATAGAATCTGGCAAATGTGGATGGCGAGGCCCAGCCAGCCACCGCACAAATTTCTGCAATGGACACCAAGCCCAGGAAGAGGCAATATCTCTAGTTGAGTGGGCTCTTACTCCCATGGGGCATTGAAAGCCCAAAGAAGAGTATGCTAGAATAATAGTGTCGATTATCCATTTGGAAAGTCTCTGCTTCGTAACCGGACAACCCTTGGTGCGGCCACCGAAGCATACAAATAGCTGATCCAACCGCTAGCCTGAGAGATTGTGTTTAGCACGTTCTCAGGGAGGTTCACAAGCTCCCATCGAGAGGCCAAAGGTGCAGAACCCACAGCTCGGGCTGGGGGTGTCATATTGTTCCGTTCGCCTGAGAGAGGAGGTCCCGTCTCATGGGACAGAGTAAGTTCAACTCTTGGTCTTGCTCTGAAGGAGGAAGTGCCGATGGAGTTATTACCTGTGCTTTAAATGGAGTAGAGAGCATTTTAGGTACATAACCATGCCTTGGTTTCAGGACGACCTTAGAGTCGTTGGGCCCGAATTCGAGGCAGGTGGTGAGACAGCATGTCTGCCACTTGGTTCAGCCTGCCTGGTATATGCGCTGCTCTCAGCGAGCACAAGTTGAGCTGAGCCCATTCCAAGAGGCGCTCCACTAGTGCGAAGAACACGAAGGCGTCCCAGACGCCAGGCGCGGGATGGAACTCATGGTTTCAGCCAATACTGAAGGGGCCGCATGCGGAGCAGGCCCAACTGTAGTACCGGAGGCCATGAGGCCTGG